ACTAAGAGATTCACTAACTGTGACACAGAAGAAGGCTTACTGCATGGGTGTTACCAAATAGCAAGAAAGATGTACCTTATGCTCCAGTTGAAAAAATTAAGTTTCAGGGCAAATTTCGCGCTCGAAGTACATGGAAAGCTGCTCATCATCTTCCTTCAGTTGTTGAACAGTCTTCTAGTACTACTCACAGTTCATCGACACCAAGCATATCCCCAGACATTACTTCTTTACCTTCCTCATCTTCACTCACTCCACCTCATCATAATGTCTCAGCCACACTATCTCAATCTGATCATTTTTCAACTGGTTTAGCCAGTTTGCCATCACCAAAGCAACCATCAAAGACCATCAATCCTCCAACAGATGCAGAGATACAAAAGCTATATTCTTCGCTAGCAAAGTGTAAAAGTAAACCAGCTATTCTTTCTCTAACAAGAGACTATTCATCTTCATATATTCCCATCTCTTTAAGTCCAGACTTACCCTCGCCATTATCTGCATTGTACAACAGCGAATATCTATCATCACATTACATCGAATTGCTATCTCTTGCTGAGGACTTGGAGATATCCATTACTGAGGGTCAGTGTTTAGCAGTAGAGAAATCAACGAAGACTCAGTTTCAATCTCGTATTTGGTATAACATGAGAGCTGGACGCATTACAGCATCGAGATTGAGAGCAGTGTGTACTGCAGATGAAGCAATGCCTCCCTTGAGCTTAATCATGTCCATCTGTTATCCGGATGTAGCTCGTTTCAATTCACATGCTACAGAGTGGGGCTGTAAACATGAGGATGAAGCACGTCAGAGATATAGTTTACAGTTGAACTCCACTCATGATGGATTGACTATAACAAAGAGTGGGTTATTTATTAATCATGCTAGTCCCTTTCTTGGTGCTTCACCTGATGCACTTGTAGATTGTCTGTGTTGTGGAAGTGGGATTTGTGAGATTAAGGTTTGTGATCAGCTTGTTACTTATTATTGATTTGTATTCTTTTTTAGTGCCCCTACTGTCATCGTGATGACACAATTGAAGAGAGTGTTGCTGATAAAAG